GAATTCACTCTCATTTCTTACCAGTGATCAGACGACTCAAATAATAGGAGAGGAGAATAATGTATTAATTCATCATGACACAAGGAGAGCAGAAAGAACCCAACAAACCCAAGGTGTATTGCTCCTTCTTGTTTCTTAAACAGATTTCAGAAGGCCCCAGTCTCTGTTCCTCTCCAGCGATGTCCCTGTTGCTCATTTCCGATCCCTGTGTGGCCAAGCACTTTTCCTCCTGTTGTCAGAGCGGACCATAGGTAGAGTTTGGAACTGACGGGCTGGTATTTATCATTTCATTTGCTGGGACACTCCTTAAAGCCTAGGTAGATTTTCTTCTCATACTTGACACATTGGAGTTGAAAACTGACTTTGAAAAGAACAGCGATGTGACTTCCTTGCTGCTGAGCCTTTTCTTGGCTGTGAAAGCCTTTCTCTGCTCCTCCCCACCTGTGGGGGCCTTCTCACCTGTCAAGGCTCAGCCAGGATGCTCCCTCCTCCTGATGCCCTCCCGCTGTCACCCCTCAGAAATTAACCTTCCCTCCTCTGCACCCTGCTGCCTCATGATACCTGTTACTGAGTTACTCCTTCAGGATTAACTATAACTGTTCAGCTGTCCATTCCTGTGATAAGCTAAGATGCTCCTGAGGTAGGTATGGTGACCAGCTGTCCCAGTTTGCCGGGAACAAGGGATTTCCTAGCAGCAAACCTAGGTGGCTGTCCCCCTTTAAGGACCATACAGAATTATCCTTTTAAAATCGTATTCCAATGGGAATTATGCACAGGAGCTCACTGAATGTTTATTATTGAAATGGTGTGTTTTAGCCTAATTTCCATTGCTATGAAAATACCTAAGACTGAGTATTGTATAAAAGAAAAGACGTTTATGTAGGTCACAGTTTTAGAGGTTCAAGGTGCTGCACTGGCTCCACTTCTGGTGAGATTCTCGTGGTCGAATGGCATGGTGTTGGGAGTGGCTGGGAAAGAGCTCGTGGTGAGACCAGAAGCCAGACTCGCTCTTTTATAACAATCCTCTTGCAAGAACTAACCAGGGTCCCCCCAAAACAAAATCAATTTCCTTTCAAGGGCAGAGTCCCAGTGACCTGATTACCTTACACCTACGCATCACTTAAAAGTTCTGCCATCTCCCAAATTAGTCACACATGAACCCTTGGAAACAACATCCAACCCCTAGCACCATGTTTTCCTATAGGAAAGACATCCCCAGCGGTTTTCCTTCTCTCTCTTACCTGCTTTGGCAGATCCCCAACCTTCTGTGCTCTTTGCAGTCTTCCTAGGTGTCCCCAGGATGCCTGACGGGGTCCAAACAAAAGTTCACCTCCCCTGCTACCCAGGGATCACTGCAAACACTGCATTCCCTGCTTACAATGGTAACCAAAGTTGTTGGCACTCACCAAGGCCACAGAGGCTGCCACCACCACCATACCTACCTCTGGCACCTCCACTGTGCCAGCATTTATTCCCCTGGCTTTGGCTCCCAACACCCCTGAGTTCTGAAAAGAAATAAACTCAGATCTTAATAGCTCCATCTCTTCCTAGGACTCACACGAGAGTTCCCAAGAAGGAGCCGGGGTGCAGGACAGGCTCTGGGATGGGCATCATTCCCACAATCTCTACCCCCTTGACTAATGAGATGTTGTTACTGAGCCTGATTCCTCCTTAAGATAGTGGTTCAGAACGGAGGCCGTTTTGCAGCCTCCCAACCTGGGACTGCTGGCAAGTTTTGAGGATTTCAGTTGTCACAACTGGGTTGGGGTGATGCTACTGGCAGGCTGTTGGCAAGGGCCAGGGACCTGGGGGAACATCCTGTAATGCACAGGAAAGCCCCAACCACAGAGGGGAATTACCAGACTGTCCATGGTGCTGAGTTAGAGAAACCCCTGTTAGGATGAGTTGTCCCCTAAGAGCACACCCCCTCCTCCAAATGGGTCTGAGATCAGTGGGTGTCCAGTCCCCCAGATCTGCCCAGCCACACCTGACTGATTTCCATCTCAGGAATCAGGTGGAACCATCCTTCCCAGTTTGCATTTGGGATTTTGTTGAAGCATCCTCTGCCCTGCATCTGGCCACACAAACCTCTCAGCTTAGCGATGGAGTCCTGGACAGCAAGACCTGAGCTGTCACATCTCTCATACTGCTAAGGTGACCTGGGCAGATGCGAACCAGGCTGGTCCTTGGGAAAACTGCCTTATGCTCCAGCTGCCTCCAAAGCATGGGCAGGTCCTTGGAACTGGTTTCTCACCTCCACATGAAGGACTGAACGAGGGTCCCTCACCCCTCCTCTGGGGCATGAGGTGCTTTGAGCCTCTTGGGAATGAGAAGCATAGGTATATAAGTGACTGCAATACATGTTCTGTATTCATCTTAATTAGTCTGAGCAATCTGTATTAAAATATCCTGGGGGAGAAGAACTGCTATTTTCCAGAAAAAAAAAAAAAAAGATAAGGTCTTTATGAAACAGAAACAAGACGTGCAGCTTCCAGGTTAAGATACGGATGACCAGTGGAGCCGTGGAGTGAGCAGAAGCAGAAGTTAGTATGGAGCCCTCCCGCACAGGGGCCCTGGAGGCCGCAGCTCCCAGAGGGTCCTGAAGGCTTTGCATGCTGCTCTGCTCTGTCATCTCGGAAGACATGCTCACAGAGTCATGGAAGTCACCTAGGGGGATCCAGGCAGCCTGTGCCCAGGTGAAAATAATGCACAGCACAAAGCCAGGAGTCTGTCTAGGCTGTGGATGGCGCTTTCCTTCCTCTATCTGTCCTACTTAACTCTTGAACCTTTCCCTCCAAAACAAAGACACGCCCACATATACCATCACTGCTCCCGCTCCCCCACTGTCTTTCTCACACACTTCTTCCTAGGGGATGGAGAATGGGTTTGAAAAACAGCATCAGACAGGGAGCCCGGTGTCTGCTCAGGGCCGGCCTGTGTTCCCAGGGTGGCCGCTGCTCTCCAGAGGAAAGCTTCATTCTGCGTAGTAGGTGGAGAACTTGAGAAGGACACACACGTCTTGCTCATTTTTTAGGATTTCCTGATGGGGTGTTCGGCGCGTGGTGTGTTGTCCACAAAGGGTTGTTGAGTGTGTGGAGGAAAGAACAGGTGAACGCTGATGGGCCTGGAGGGAGTCTGCTCAGCAAATTCTGCTTGGCCTTTTCTGAAAGCCTCACTTGGTCAGGAAGTGTCAAGGTCACTTTTCTTAAAAACAGGAAGTGCCTTGAATGGATTTTAAAATGCCAGAGAGGAACACAGCAAAGACGTTACTGGAAAACCGAGAATGATTTTTTTGGTTTGTTTTTGTTTTGGGTTCTGGGGATTGAACTCAGGGCGCTTTCCCACTGAGCTACATCCTTAGTCTTTTTTTTTTTTTTTTTTTTGAGACAGACGAAGTTGCCCAGGCTGGCCTTTACCTTGAGGTCCTCCTGCCCCAGCCACCTCAGTGGCTGGGATTAGGGCATGCACCATAGTGCCCTGTGTGAATGCCTTTATTCAGCGGGTGACACTCTCCTCCTGATTCTGGGATGGGCGTTTTCCACCTGCACACTTAATTCTGAAGCACGGTTTTTCCTGTGCTCCGCCCTGTGTGCACGCCTTTCTTCCACCCTGGCAAAGGAACTTTGGCACATTTGCCAAAGGGATCTTTTTTGTACAGAGACTTTTTGTTGGTTGAGAAGATTCAGTCAGCAGAGACCCTGGCTACAAGGGAGCTCTGACTTTTGAAGCACGCAGTCGCACCCAGGCCTGTATTCCTAGTTCCTCACCTGCTTCTGAGAGCTCCGCCATCACTCTGAAATCCCAAGACAGCGCCTTCCTTTCTTCACGGGAAAGAAACAGAATTCTCAGACATCCTTCCAGTGGTCATCTGGGGGTTGGGCAGCACCAAGGTGGGCCTGCATGCCTCTTGCCCAGTGCAGCATGATCTTCCCTGACAGTTCTTCCCTGACCGTCCTTCTCGCTGCCTTGATGAACTTCAGTGGACGCCCTTCAGGGCCCAGCCGTTCCAGCCCCTACGACTTGCCATGCTCCTGAATCCCATGTTCTTTTTACCAGTGCCCAGAGGTGCCTGATTATTTCATTTGAGCTTTTACTTTCCTCATTTCCTTATTTCCTCTTTCTGAGGGCAAGAACCACACTTTCTATTGCTTTGGATTTCTACCAGCAACCCCAGGAAGGTGCTCACTCCTCCTTCTTGAAGGCAATATAAAAACCATTGACTAATCTGGCCTCTGTAAGTATAGCTCAGAGATTTCTGAAAAATCTATGATGTAGATTATTCGGGGGAGGGGGTTAAGGAAAGTGATCAACACAGAGACAAAAAGAGCAAAATGTAAGGACAATGCAAAATATCAGAATATCACAAAATACCGTCTCGCCAGTAGAATCTTTATGGAATTTGCTTCTAGAAAATACCTGAAAAATTGTTCATATGTACATATAGAAACATCTTTACACACATATTCACATATATGCACATACGTACAAATATACACACATTTAGACCCACACATGTATGTATGGAGTAAACCCTCAGCCGAAGAGCTTTTGGGTGGAGGCACACAAGGAAAGAAGCTAGAATGTTTATAAACATTCTAGTCTTGTCTTCTTAGAGGTTAGCTTTTTGTCTGCAACACAGAATCCGTATCTTTTGTACTCTGTAGACTTCTTATAGGGTTAAGAACCCCATGTGACACAGTGTGGCCCCAGTGGGATTAAGCATTTGGCAATTTGGACTTATCATGCTTTGCATCTGAGTTTTGATTTGTCAGATCTGCATATTTAAATTTCCTTGTTTTCCTAGTAAGATAAATGCAAATTCCGGAAATGGGATGGCCAACTAGAACTGACTTGGTTTCCCATCCCTTCTCTTCTGGAAGTTTACTTAGTCGCCTTCAAAACCCTTTTGTTCTTTACAAAAAAAAAAAAGAAGAAGTAGTAGTATTTGTGCCTTGCCTGTTGATGTGAAAACAGGAAACAGACATCCTTTTGTCTTCCAGGGAGATGTGTATCCAGCAGGATGGGAGAATTCACCTCACTGTTGTTTACTTTGGGAAAGAAGAAATGAATGAAGTCAAAGGGATACTCGAAAACACTTCCAAGTGAGTACCGTCTGGAGCTGGGACCAGGAGTCACGGTAACCCAGCTCACAAATACACACCCCACGCTGAAACTTCTGCTTAGTTTTATTTTCCTTAACACTGGGCAAACTGGGAGACTGGTCGCTGGCCAGGTATCGGGAAACCCAGAGCCCTCCTTCCCCCAGAAGGCCACCCTGTCTGACACTGGTCTTTATCAGGCAGGGGTGAGGACTTTGGCAGAGGAGATGAACTGTACTGAGCAGCAGGGTGGGCAGCATGGGCTTCTGTGAGCTGCAGCATGTCTGGAGGTGGACACTCTGCACCACAGATTCAGAACTTGCACTGTGCAGAGCAGGATTGAGGGAGAGCTCAGCTGTGCACCAAGCTCTGTCTCTGCCCTGGCTTAGAAGGCCACGGTGATATCTGTGCTCAGAGCTTGCCTGTGTAGCAAGCGGTCTCACCCTTTTGCCTTCCGTTTCTTACGCATTCAGAGATGTTAAGGGGAAGCCAGAGGGATGGCAGGGTTCTTTATGAAATCTACTCAGTCGAACAGAAATGGTTTAACCAAAACCTTAAGAGCCAGGTTGTGTATTTACATTTCGCTGATCAGTTGCAGGGGGAATACCTGTATTCCAGAGCAGCATGTTTTAGTCAGCTTTCCTGCCACTGTGACCAAAAGACCTGACAAGGAAGTTTATTTGGGGGCTCACAGTCTCAGAGATCTCAGTCCATAGATGACTGGCTCCATGGCTGTGGGCTTAGGGTGTGGCAGATCATCATGGCAGAAGAGTGTGGCAGGGGAAAGCAGCTCAGGACATGGTACCAGGAAGCAGAGAGAGACTTCTCCTCTCACTAGGAAACAAAATATGTACCCCAAAGGCGTGACCCCAAGGGACTCACCTCCTCCAGCCACTCCCCACCTGCCCACAGTTACCTCCCAGTGAATCCTTTGAGGACATTCATGCATTGATTGGGTTAAAACTCATAACCCACTCATTCCACCTCCAAACTTTCTTATTTTGTCTCACACATGAGCTTTTGGAGACACCTCATATCTAAACCATATAAATGGATTTTTTCACTAACAAAATAAATGGCATCATGTACCAATAGCACTACCATGCTCCCCTTTGATTGGTCACCGAGGTTTGTAGGGCTTAGTTGAGTGATTGTGCAAGTAGTTTCTACAAATACATGAAGCTTTGAGGGTGGTCAGCAGTACTCAGTGTCAGAAATAGTCTGAATAGGTCCACCTTGCTTAGATATAATCAAGACCCTCTGTTATTACTGGTAAATGGTCACATGATAATGGATATGGAAGGATAAGATTGCAGGATTGAGAGCATTTAGTGTTGATTTTCATGCTTGTTAGTAGTTTTGTATTAAAGGACACAATATCAGAATGCTAATTAGAGTTCTTTAAACATCCTAAAGCAAAGGACACCAACTATAGCTCAAAGGTCAAATTTGGCCACCTGTTTTTGTGAAGTTTTAAAAGAATACAGGCACATTCGGTTTGTTTACATATTATTTATGGCTGCTTTGCAGTACAACTGCAGGCAGAATTGAGTAGTTATAACCAAACTATTAAAAAACATAAACCATTTACTATATGGTCCTTTACAGGAAAAATTTGCTGACCCCTAAAGCAACAGGGATTTTTAAGATTATAAAAGTAGTTAACAGCCTAAAGTTAAGGTCCATGTTTCAAGACGATCAAATAGAAGAAAATAATTGAATATCCTATATGAAAGTAAAATGGAAATCTCTATACTCCAACGTGTTGCAATATCCTTCTCATCTCTGCTTAGGAATGAAGAGCATGAATGATAGAATTCTTGTCCTCTGCCCAGTAGCTAGGTTTCAACATCTCTGCCAAAATCCATTCCTAGACATCGGTTCTTTTAAGTTTCCCAGGTGATTCAAATGTGCATCCTGGACTGGGAGCCACCCAGGGGAAGGAAGTGCTGTACCTGGGGCCACGCCCTTCACTGCAGCCAGCTGCCCCATTCCAGTGTATTATAAGTAGCTCTCAAGGTGACTCTGCAGTGCAGCCAGCGACGACAAGCTCTGTCCTATGAGGTCTGGCACCTTTTCAGCACATCAAAGAGTGTTCAGACATTTTCTGATGGTTACACTTAGGCTGTTGAATATGTAGAAGGCTCGTTTCAACACGTTATGGGAAATGCCCTTTCCAGTGACTAGAATGCTTAATAAATACTTTTATCAAGGGCTTTTTCTCCGTGCCAAGTTACCCAGCAAACAGAATTCTCAACCAGAAGGTTGCTTGGTGAACAAAGAGTGCACAGAATCAGAACAAGAGAAGTGAATTCCTTTGAATGGTAGGGATGGTTTGTCCAAAACTTTAGAAAATATCCAGAGATCAGTTTACGCCATACAAAGAACTTTGCATGAAAGACAGAGTTGATTGATACTTTAAAGTAATGAATGCTACACAAACTTTTGCAAAATTAATTTGAGCCTCATTTTTCTGTGTTCATATCCTATTTCGGTGGATAGTTGAAGTCTAGTGTGGATGATTTGGGTTGTATCTATCTCCATGATGTTGGATTGATCAGATGATTTTCATGGGAATCCCCAGAGCTCTGGACAGTTGCACTGAACTCCACCTTCCAGATGAATCTTGCAAACTGGCTCTGGCATTTAGCCTCATCTTTACCACTTAGCACTCTCCAGCCAAACTCGGGGTCTAGAGCACCCCTTTATCCTCACTCCCATTAATTTCCTCTTGAGATTCCCTCCACCCTCTTTTCCATGTACTCAAACCTCCCTGCCCTGCCATCCCCACCAAAGCCCCATCACAGAACTTTCCCTAAGTCCCAGTTCTCTCCTCCCTGACCATCCTCACTTTCAGCACCTCTTCTCTTTGGCACCTGGCATAGGATGCTAAATACATTTCTTTTTATTCCCCTAACTTTGCAACTAGATAATAAGCTGCTCAATAAATGATAGCATGTCATGCCCCTTGGTAACGCCAACACTGAGTGCATTGCCACACATAGAAAATGTTTTGTTCAAGGGCAGAAGAATGTCAGTTAATTAGCAAATTTGGACAAATGGAAATCTTTATGTAAACTTAATATGGGAGGCTTTAAGAACATTTATATTTCTCTTAAGGTGCTAAAAATTTTTGTTCTATGGTAATTTCTTTTTGAATAATAATAGCATCATTATTAGTTGCATGAATTATTTAATATTCACAGCAACCTTTTAAGATGGATGCTGTTATTAGCCCTGTTTTGTGGGTGCGGAGACTGGGGCTTGCAGAGGTTATTACTCAGCTGTCACCCCTGGCACGTGGGAAAGCCTGGAGTTGAACCTCATCAGTAAAGGCCAGGACTCTCAGTCTTTACATAGCATCAAATGTTCACTCCTAGGTGCCCCCTCCTAAAACCCATAATTATTAGTTGAAGGTAATAAGATTTGTAATCAGAGTAAATGAAATTTATTTTATTTGGAGATTGGTATTGTGATTAAACTGTTCTAAATCCAGCTAAATGCATACATTTTAAGAATATCTAAAAATAAAACCCTGTTTAATGACTAGTTTGCAGTGTTTTAGACTCTCTCTCTTCCTAGGCTTACACTTCCTCAAATGAGTTCTACATTTCAGTTGATTGCAATAGATGAGTGTTTTGCAAACTCTGGTTTGTAATTCATTAGAGGATTGTGAAATTGATTTTGTGGGATATGTCCAATGCTTTTAAAAAGTGAAATAGAATACGATAGAAAATATCAGAATGAATCACAGGTCATAAGGACACATATTGTTTCGTGGAATTTTGATTTCAGTGAACAGTCCTGTGTGTGTGTGTGTGTGTGTGTGTGTGTGTGTGTGTGGTCACGTGCGTGCATGAACTGCATTACAATATATGACATATTCCTATGTGAGGACTGTGGCTAAAATGTGCATAAGCCTCTTCTATAGAAAACAATACATATCAGTTCTCAGTATGCAATTCTTAATCTATGAATTTTTATCATCTTCAGATTATCTCAGATGAAAACTGAGCTCATTGGTTCTCATATACTTTGGCATAATGGGTGGTACTTTTTAAAATGCGGATTCCTAGGATCCCACTCCAGAAATTCTGAGCCACTAGGCTTGAGATGAAACCCAAGAGTTAACTCTTTGAATCGGTTCCATGTGTGATGCTTTGTGGTCTGTGGGATACAAAGACTGGGCTAGGTGGATATTTGGTTGGAGCTAACAGGAAATTCTTAAAAAAAATGATAACTTATAGATAAATTAGCATGGGTTGACCTTTAACACATTGCAAGTTCATCTTTGTCCAGCCATGAGGTTGCAAAGGCATCTTCCAGAGGAATCACATGAGCAACTGAGGTACTAGAAATTAGAGACTGCTCTGCCACCGTGAGTATAATATCCTTTTGGTTTGTTGTGGTTTGGGGGGACCTTGACGTAGTGTGCAAGGCCCTTTGAAGCAATTTATTTGACAAATACCCCCAGGAAAACTTCATCAGACATCCTGGAAGAAAATTTGGAAGAGAAGTTTTTTTCTTTTTTATCACTAAAATTTGAGCAGTATCATTTTTTAAAAGTTTTTCTTAAATAGTGAATATTTAGGTAAGAATCATCTACTAAAATGAAACAAGCTGCACAGTGCATCTCTCCTAAGCAGACAGAGTCCTGGGCTCTGAGAAACAGGCAGGGGTTAGTATTGATTCAGGCACCATCTCGAGCCTGTGGTCAGCTCTCCTGGCTCTGCCGGAAGGTGCCAGAGCTGATTCTGCCTGGTGTAGCAGCTCTATGGATCTCTGCCGGCATTCCCAGTTGTTCTTTGAAGGACCTGAGCATGGCATATATATCATAGAATTGTGGCAATGTTAAATCTTCCAAGTGTGGTTATTATATTTTTAGAATGTTATAAAGGAGAGCATCCTGGGTCTTGGAAGGTATGTGTCTTTGAAGATGAAGTCATCATGGCATCTGTAACTAACTCTCAAGTAGTTCAGAAGGAAAGCAAGCAAATGTGAAA